AAAAAAAGATTGTGCTCTTTTTCTAGGCCTCATTGCGGGGCTGAAAAAAAGCTGGAGGTCGAAAAAAAGACATGCCGCGGCCGAAAACAAGATGGGCCAATCGCGCGGTCTAGAAAAAGACATTTCGGGGTCGAAAAAAAGAGCAGCCCCTCAAAGGGGGGGCTTCAAGCAGGCAGGCTTGAGAAGGGGCTTCAAGAGGGGCTTGAGAAGGGGCTTTAAGGGGGGCTTGAGAGGGCTCGAAGGGTGTTTCAGGGTCGGAGATGGTTCGAAAAGGTTCAAGGCTTGAAAGAGGTAGATAGGTAAAGGTTCCATTGTTTTGAGATAGGTTGCGACCAAGGTCCCACTTGAGACCAGTTTCTCTTAGACTCGTGGCACCTCTGGATGCGAATGGATCGAATTTTGGATGCTGTTCTTTGCAGCTTCTAATCGACCTAAAGGTTGTTTCCGGCCAAAGTGACAATGTGGACTCCATTTGTTTCGAAAGTGTCGTTCGGTTGGGTATTGCAAAGAGACAAGCCAAAAGTTGATCAACTAAGGCGATAAGACAGCAGTGGAGTGTTTTGGTTGTTCGTGGAATGGTTGTTTGGGTGTCAACAAAAGTTGCTGTTGTTGGTTGTTTTTGTGACGATGTTGTTGGCAGTGGTTGTTGTTGCTGGTCGGTTGTTGTTGGCGGCTTGCTGGTGGTAAGTTGCAAACTGTTTGGTTGTTGCTGTTTTTTGTGGTTGGTGGTCCTGGTGCTTAGTTTTTTGCTGTTCTTGTCCTTGCTGCAGGTGCTTTCAGTGTTCATGTTGTTGATGGCTCCCCCAGTTCCTGCCTCTTCTTCCTTCTGTCCTTTCTTCGCTTTCTCCTCCTCGTCCTCAAGGTTCGGGGCTTCCTGATCAGGGGTTTGGTTTGCTCTCACACTAACCAGCTCTTACCACAGAGCTGTCTTCATTGGTTTGGCAGCAGGATTTGTAGAACACATGCCTCGGTTTAACAGCCTGCCTTGAAGCTTTGCACCTGTCGATGATTTCGCTTTGTTGAGATTATAGCCATGAATGCTTTTTTGCTAAATATTGAAAATGAACACGAACAATAGCCACGATGGTCAAACTGGCATTGCTGACGACGTCACCCATCGTGAGGATGATCGAGAGGAGGACATGTGGTGCCATATTCAAGAAACACGGGTCATATCAAAAGCACAGGTGGCATCAGAGGAACCTGTGGCACCTCAGCGACCAATCCACGGAACAGTTTGGAAATGGCAACGTTTTGCCCCTGCTCATGAACAGCACAAGATTCGCGCAACTTGCAGTCAACGTTGCAATTGCTGTTTGATTGCACTAAGAAAACAAGGTTTGGTACGTGACACGGTTCATGTTTTTGCACAGGTTGCATGTTCAATTGAAGTTTTCCTGGTCAGAGATTAACATGTCGGCACAAGTTGGGATGCAATGCATGCATGGAGGCTCAAAAACACACCGTCACGATCGAAACTTTCAATTCGCTTGCCTGCAGCCTTGATTGAGCAGGTCTGCCAAACAAGACTGAAATGCTGTGTCGTCGACCGTGTGCAGACTCGAATGCATCCATGTTACTTCCTTTGTTCACATTGCTTCCGAAGGTCACAGTAATCAAAAAGTCATGTGTTCCTTTTGCTTTAACTTTTGCTTACACTATTTATACCACCGCAATATATCGTCCGTTTTCGGTGCTGTGGCAATGCCGACCCTGCCGGACGGAAGCTTCGCCGTTGCAGAAGCATGGTTCGCCTCACCCCAAGACATTGTGACATGCACCTTGTATCCATGAACCAAGCTTTGTGCCATGTCGAAGTTTGTCATTCCCGATTGGAGCGCAATTGCGTAGGATGTGTCGGGACATCTTAAAACTTGTGTTACGTGGAAACTAAAAGCGCAGGCGAAGAAAGGCAAATCCAAAACGCCAGCGGACGATTTCTGGAGAGCCGCTGGAGAGCCGGGCTCTATGCACAAAGTCAGTGTGTCCAGCCATGTCATTTTGTTTCTGCACGTGGGTCTGTTGTTGATGTTGATGCATCCGCTGAGCATTACGACGGATTCGGCCAGCGCCATATATCCTTCTCTTGGCCTGACGAGGCAGGGGGTATTTCAAGGATTCGTCAGTGTTGCTGAGCAATGTTGTTTCACTGCCAAACGTTCCTCGCCAAAGTGTCCCAACCAATAAAATCGTACGTGTCTGTGCTGAGCAGCCATGCCGAAGTGAAACCATGCGGGGAGGTTGGACAAACGACTTTGCACGAAGCCGCTGCTTTTGGCCGCCCGACTCAGGCCCCACGAATCCTTCGGTCTTTAAAAGCATGCAGCCTTGTTCAGATTGTTCAAACCTGCAGAAGGTGCGCAGTCAGATGTAGGATAGAAGATAGCAGGAACTCGCGCTGAAAATCTGGACGAAATTTGCCCGTGCAAGCGTGCTAGTAGTGGGAAGAAGCCCAGCAGACTCGATCTTTCAGAAAGATCCCATCATGCACAGCCCTCAGGCCGCGGCAGTCTGAGACCCAGAAGGATTGAGGGGTACAGCGGTTTTTTGGCGGGGTCACCATTTTAGTTGCGGCTGTTGGTCGAGTGGGACAGCTCTGGAAAAGACTGACAAAGCTGGCATCTGTTGAGTTTCAGCGTGGTTGCCCGCGGGAAGGATGAGGCGAAGCAAAAAGGCGGTGGCCAGTACGGTTCGGCAGGTCCTGGCGATGGACCCGGAAATCTGGAAAGTGGAAACCTCAAAAGGTTCAGGGCCTACGACGTTGGCGATCACAAAGTGACTAGGATCAGCTTTGACACCTGGGGCTGTGTCAGAATTGCGGCTCTTTGCTGCTCATAAGGCCGCACAGCGCTGGATGTTGCGCAGGCGTCAAACCGATGGATCCATCGGATCCGAGCAAGAATTCAGTGATTCAATGATCTTTGCATCCTCTGCCGCCTGAAGGATGCAATCCAATGGTGCGCAAAACACGGGCGCTTACACAAAGAGCGGTTGAGGCATCAACAGGTCGGCGAGCAATATCACACCGTTCAAGCAGCAGTCTGCAGTTGCACATCACGCTTGTCACCGGGCAATGGTCAGGTGGCGGAGCTCTGCAAGAGAGCCAGGGATGGCAAGGCAAGGAGGTATTTTCATCTTTTGACTTGGTTAAGGTGTAAGAGCCCTGCCCAGGTCGTGGAAGCACCGGAAACAGATCCCGAGCTCCAAGCTGCAGAGCTCGGCGCCGAAGGCGAGTCGTTACCTGCCACAACAAAAGTTGAACGAAAGGCCGGGACCACCTGGCTACTTTTCCATGGCCCCCTCAGTGCGCCACTGTTGGGGAACATAGTGGACGCCTCTTGCCTACCAGACAAACCATTCTACGATTTGCCGAGTTCAGTTTGTCAAGTGGCGAAACAACATTTGCTGCCTGGGGTTGTGATGGAATGTGCGATTCAGACATCGTCTGTATCTGATGGAGCCTTTTTCGTGGAGGTACCCGGGCTTCGACGGGGCTGTGAACTTCCGCAGGAAGCTTGGATTTTCCAAGATATAAGCCGAGTGTCACGAAGCTACGCAGACGGGATCTGCCGAGTCCTTGTCCCTAGTAAAGATGAACTCCCCGCGGCGTGAGGCCCAAATGGCTCCCAGGGCTCCGAAGGCAAGCAGCCAAGCAGCCAAGCAGCCTTCCCCTTCCAAGTCCGCCTCTGCCATCCGGGAAGCCTCGCTCTGCGTTGGTCTCCTGAGTGAAGCATATAGGCCCTTCCAGTGCCGCATGCTGCCAGTTGTCGTTGCTTGGAGCATCTACTGGGCCAGTGCCGCGCTCGTCCAGGATTGCGAGATAAAAGTTATACGTGTTTTTTGCACGCCGTCAGCAGGTCAGCCAGCACTGACTCAGCCCAAAGCCCGATTTCCACACCCTGAGTGCAGCTTCTTTACATCAATCCAATGGACAAAGTGTTTGCCAATGTTTGCCACGAAACCCACCAGTTTGTTGCCATTTCTCCGAGCCAGAGAGGGCTACTCGCCCGCAAAGAGTCGGGTAGATGTCGGTCAAATGAACAGAGCTGGGTACTGCCAAAAGCTATTCTGACGTGTTCTTCAACTGTCTTGTAGCTTGGCAATAAGGAAGTGAAGCCAAAGAGCACATCGATGGGTCAAGGGATCCCCGCACTTTGCAATTCAATGTCGGCCGTGCTGGCCCTCGCATGCCGGTGACTCGAGTGCATCCCATCAATGCCTCCGAGCCACTGGAGATCGAAACGCTTCCCGGATCGACCGTGGCCGATCTGAAGGAGAGCCTTCAGGCAAGAACTGGCATCCGAGCATCAGCCCAGCGCCTGGTGGCCGGCGGACCCCTCCTGCAGGAAGATGCCCTTGTGGAGTCCTTGGACGGCCGCATCTTCCTTGCCCAGACATCCGACTCAGCAAAGTCCACCCAGGATGCGGCAGCATCGGCTCCTGCGCCGGATGGAACGGAGATGAAGCTTTTTATCCGAGCTGTTTGGAGCGACGGGCGCCAAGACGACAGGACCGTGGAGGTCAAGACCCAACTGGCAGCCAGCGACTTCAAGCGCAAGGTGCCGGCGCCCGGCACTCGGCAAAGCTCCGCAAAGCTCCGCCTGCGCCCGTCCGTAGGTGCTCGCTTCTTTGGGTGACGATTTCTCAGCGGGCGGCCGCGCACCAAGCTGAAAGCAGGAGGAGCGGAAGCTCCGCGGTGACAGCATCGCACAGGACGCTGCAGCTTCGTTTTTGCGGGCCAACTCCTGAGCTCAGAGGTGGGAAGCTTCCGAGGGCTCCTGAGCTCCGAAGTGCTTCCTGTGCTAGTGCCGCCCAGGGGACACTGGAGGATCAGGGCTTTGAGGAGGGCGATACCATCGTCGTCGTGGCGCCACGGGTGCAGCTCTTAGGAAGCGTGGGTTCTTTTGACAAGCTTCGATCAGGGGTTGATGAGTTTGGAGGTCTCCTGATGCAGGATCTAAGTATGACCATTAAATCTGAAGCCGAAGGAGTGAGGGTGTTCTACATATTTGCGGAATTTGGCTGCAGACAGACGGCTTAACATGAATCAACGATTCCAGCGTCGTGCTGGGCTACCGGACATCCTTTACTACGGGTAGTGCTTCGTCATATTAATATCGTGTTGCCAGATGCCCATCCGAAAGGTACCAGCCAGTCGCCTCCAGTGTTTTTGGCATCGTCTGGTATGGCTCTTCAATGGTGTGCGGCCCAGTTGACTTGTCGCCGACTGTCCCGGAGACTTGATCATGGTACTTGGCTCGGCCACAGGCAATCCTGCCACGAGGGCCACATTGGAATGCATCTACTGTACTGAGCACGGCTTGTTAAGGCAACACAAACCGGAAACATCAAACAGGCTATCGAGCTTACAGCAATCAAACAGGATGGACGTTTGAACTTGGCCGGGCAATTTTCTGGGATGTCCAGTCTGGCTATGTTTCCGCAGCTCTGCGATTCGTAGTAGTTCCCAGCTTCCTCTGACTTCGCATCACCTGGATGCCTTTTTCCTGGCCATTGTCCCGACATAATGAGAGCAGACCATAGCAGACCGCGGGACATTCAGGGCTTCGTGCTTTTGCTCTTGGTCTCTGGACGTTGCCCTGGACACTGGGAACTGGGCTGCGGAATGCATGGCGCCCTGGGTTTAGGATTCTCTTTTTGGATCGCAGAATCTCAAGTCATCTCTGGCAGACGATGACTGCTAGGACGGTGGTGTTTGCGTTTGGAGCATATCTTGCACTGGTGCTGTCGAAGGTTTCGTTCTCGTGCAGGTACGACCCGTGGAGCATCGTACGCCCGTCCGTGCCAGAGGAGGCAGATCGCGGCCGAAGAATGACAGGGGAGGGCAACGAGCGCGAATTCGAGGAGTGTAGTGTAGGGCTCTCCATGCTTCGAAACTCGCAGGCGCGCCGAGGGCCTCGAATCCGAACACTGGGCTTCACCCCGCAAATGGCACGTGTTCTGGGCTGCAGACGGAGATGTGGGGAGCATGGGAGCAAAGCAGCAGAAAGCTTGCGCTCAGGCTACGGTCCTGGGCAGAACCCTCGGGGGGAGGACATGTGTTTGTCAATCCTTCGCATGAGCTGGCAATCTCGCATAACTTTAAAATGTCTTGCGAACTGGGCCAGGACCTGACCATGGTGTTAACGCAAGGTCTCGTCGGCATGCCGGGGTCAAAGTTGCGAGTGCAGTCTCCGCATCACGTCTGGTGACAGGAATTGCATGTCCGTGATGTCGAACCCGAGGAATTGCTAGTGACTGGTGACCAGTCCTTGCAAATAGAGCTCGCTTGTCGCCATGCCGTCCCGTCTCGCCGGGCTTGCAGCATCGGCAGTGTCTGCCGCTCTTGCCCACTCGGTGGGTGCCCAGTGCCCGCATCATCCACATCTGGATTTGTGCCCCGCGAACCTGAACAAGGAAGCGCGGAGGAACAAAGCGAAGGAGATTGACGTCAACCGTGGGGCTCGAAACTCGGCTTGGATGGCGCTGGTGCTGCCTTTCATGGCTGCTCGACCGTCCTTCTCCACTGGTCTAGCGGTGATGGCAGTGGCCGTGATGGCTGCAGATGCCCGTGGACATGGCTCATCATCCATGTCCTGTGGCCATATTCGCACTTTCTATCAATCCCAGGACTGTTGTTCCGAGGGTGAGGAGCCTCTGTCGCTGGACTTCAGCACCAGCGAGGGCAGCAGCTTCGGCAGCTCCGTCTGCGGGGCGACTAGCCCAGTGGGAGTCTGCCATTGCGCCAGAGCCATGCAGCTGCTTTCGCAGGTGCCTGGAGTGCAATTTCCAGCAGAGTTCTGCGGGCACATGGCTCACGTGAAGCCGGTGGGCTTTCACGACCAGCCGATCTGCGAAGCTTCCGATGCGGGCACCAACGTGGAATTCCTCGTCGATGGCAGGGCGGGCAACACCAACTTCCCCCATGGAAACATCAAGGTTTTGGCCACGGCGGGCGAGGTGGACCCACTGACAGGATCCATGCTCACAGGCAGGTATTGGTCTGCACAGGATTTTGAATTGGGGCAGATAGACGGTAGATAAGATATCGATGGCTAGTGTGGTGAGGTGTGCCAGATGGACTGGGAGCCTACTTGAAGGATGCCGACACGGTGCGCCTGATCTACCAGAGCGAGGCATACGGCCAGCTGGTCAGCTCCAACCCGGAGTCTTATCCGTGGACGGTGAACTCCAACACTGCCAGCTTCACTGGCTCTCACATCCATTTCATCGATTACGACAGAAGCATGCTGGCCACGTTCATGGACGATGGGGCACCAGCCAAGGCTCAGAGCATGGTGAAGGGGGCGGGCAACGCAGTGACCACGGCTTACAACTTGAGGCGGGAGCTTGTTGGGCCCCGAAATCGCGCATGGGACGGCCTGCAGGCCACGAGGTCGAATGTGCATGAGAGCAACGTCGACGTGCATGGCAACTACATCGTCGGAAGCACTGCGAAGGCTCCCAGCAAGGCAGACTGGCTTATGCAATCCCTTTGCTCTGCACATCTGGAGGTGAGGCACCAGTGGGGAAACGGCAAGGGAGTGGAGGACGACCTCTTTATCACCAACGAAGAGTGGATCATTTACCCCGAAAGCTCCTTGCCCATTGGTCTGCCCGTGCATGTCCTGAACTTGGCCACTGGTGAGCTCTGGGCCACTGCTGCCTTCACCCTCGGAGGCCACGAGAAGGTCGTGGAAGTGAACAGTGGCCATCAGGGCTATGTGGCTTTCGTACCTTCTGGCTACAACGGAGCCTTCGGCATTAGTCGAGGTGCCGTGTTGGATGCTCGCAACAGTCTCTACTCCAGAACGGACGGCAATCCGTACGTGTGGCCGCAGGACATAGTGCCCACCAAGCTCTACATCGGCAAGAAGAACACGGATAAAGAAGGGAATGCGGACTCCATCGATTTCCTGGCAAGGAATGGCTTCGAGCACGGAGCCCTGTACGGCTTCGCAGTCGACTGCACCGTGACCGCTTCGCGAGATGCCTGGCACAAGACTGCCTCTGCAGGTGACACCGTGAGAGGCGCCTTCTACAAGCTCCGCTGGCAGGCGCAGAGGGGTGTGGTGCGGGGCTTCGAGCACGATGGAAGCTGGGAGTTTCAGGACGCTCCGCGAGGTGCTCCGGCCGGCTGGTGCTTTTGGAACTCCAACGGCAAGGACCGTCGTGGCGCTAAGACTGAGCACGTATCACCGGATCCCCGGGGTGGTCAACGTGTCCTGCAGGGTTCCACGGCTGGCTACTTCGGCATCTACGACTTCTCGAGCCTGCCCTCCCTACTGAGCAGCACCTTTCCCGACTCCATTCCTGCTACATACACAGTGTATCAACCTGAGTCGGATGTTCGCAACTTGATCGAGCTAGGCGGTGCCGGCATCCGAGCGGACGGGAACAACCAGAAGATGATGCTGTGCTGCTATTGAGGAGCATTGTGTATGTGGAGCCCTGTTCTGAACCCCAATTCCTGTCTGTGCAATCGAATCTCGAAAGGGCTGTGCCCCGGCTAGCTCATTAGCGCCGTTGGTGATGTTGATTCAACTCTCCGGTTGACATACCCGCCACCCAGCAACACTTGCCCAGGATGCGGGACAGCAGCAGGGACAAGAGCACCTTCGAGGACATGGGGACAATCTTTTGGCAATCGGTGTGGGCGCAGGCTGCAGGCTTCGTCGGTCCCGCACTGACCAGCACCGCAGAAGAGAAGAGTAGACAAAACCAACCTTCCCCAAGTGGTCGGAGTACTAGGACTCACATTGCGAGCATCACACGAATCGTCGTATAAGAACGAGGTGTGGTCTGTCGACCATGGCATGCTGAGAGTGCTCTCCTGTGCAGCGACATGCCCCCTGCGAAGGATGTTGATGGCATGGAGTGGATTGCCGCGGCAGACGGGCAGGACTATTTCATCATCCACGAAGATGGCGGCAATTGGTATGGCGAGCGCAAGTTCCTGGCCAAGGTGGGTATCCCGATGAAATATTACTTCGTTGCGCAAAGCGGTGGTCGTGCCAACACTCGCGAGTTGGCTGGTGTTAGCTCTGTTGCCGGCGTACATGGCGGTGCGGGCTCGCATGAGTTCTCCGGTGCCTTCGATCTCTCCGGATTGCTTCGGAAGGATGCTTCGGGCAACTTCGCGCTTCCCGTGAAGGACGTAACCGGAAAGAAGCGCGAGCTTGAGGCTGCCACGCCCATCAACGAAAAAACCATCGCCGTGAATCTGCAAGCCCACACCAACAGGGCCGGATTTGCCGTCACTTTCGGCTCGGATCGGGTTTCCCAGGTCTTGGCTTACAGGCCACGGCTTCCCTAATGCCGGGACGCGCAACTCCATGCTCCACGCGTGCCGGGGTTTGGTAGGCTACCGCGTTCGCGCTCAGGTAGGATCGGAGCGTAAGAGCATCGTTGGGCAACCAACATTTTTGGTGTTTTGTCAGGGTCCTGAGCTATGCAGCGGTATCAGGTCACCTTGCTCTCTTCGTAGCAGGCGACTTGCTTGCCCGACTGTGTAGCTTTCAGGACCTGCTTTTTCGTCTGTCAGTCAGCATCGATGGACGGTGGGTGCTGCGAAGCCAAAGCATGCCACAGCTAGCCCCGCCTACAGCGACTGTTCAACTTTTGTTCAAGGCTCACAGTGGGCATCGAAAGGGAGTGCCGGCTACGGAGCCTTGTGCGTGACATTTGCGCAACTTCCACCTTTGAGTATCGGAGCTTGGCTCCTGGAAGCGGGTGTTTTCGAGACCGCGATTGGAAAAGAAGCTTGCCACAGCTCGCCATCCATCACCTTTTGCATCTTGCTCTGAGCCCTGGCTTGTTCAATCAGGTAAGCTGCCGAATGAGCGTGGCCGTGCCGAGTGCTGTGCGCTTCACAACATGTGAAGCTAGCCCAGAGCAGCAAAGAAGCGAGTGCTGCACTCTGTGGCTTTCGTCCGAAGCCTGTAGCATTCAGAGTCTTCTCACCCCTGCCCGGCTGAGATGCACCGCTCGCTTCTTTCGGCCCCTGTGGCGATAGTGAACACATCGGGGCCGCGCGCTCCTCGTGGAGGCTTTGCGGCGGGATGCTCCTGCGTTCAACTGCAGCGACGCGTTGGGCCGGATGTTTGCCAGGATGCCGCGAAGCGGAGGGCGGGATGGCTTCGACTTCAGCTTCCTGACCAACAGGGATGACAGCTCGTTCCTCAGGGAGCCGCACGAGGATATTCAGCATCGGCTTCGCGCCCGAGCCATCTCAGGTCAGGGATTTATCGCTGAAGAGGACTAGTGAGTAGCTCGGATTGGTTTGCTGGTGGCACCGGCCGATTGTTCAGGCCTTTTTTGTTATTGGGGCAGTCAGGCAGACGGGAGTGTGAAAACGTCCATAGTGAGGGTATGTTGGGAGGCACAAAGTTAGCAGCAGACATGCAATTGCAACATCAGCAGCTGTGCTGCTCGCGAGGACCGGGTCAATTGCCCTTTTTACTTCAAGATTGGGGCATGCCGGAACGGTGACCGCTGCAATCGTGTCTGGGTCTTGAAATGCAGCATGCTGCCGTGATCTGCCTTTTGGGATTTCCTTCGGAGGGGTGTACTTCGTAGGCAATGAGGCAGGACATGGCAGGCTACAAGGGATGGCTCTGCTGACTATTTTCAGGCGGTGGTGCTTGGTCTTGTTTGACCCAGACCCGCAAGGCTCACAGCAAGCCGACCAGCGGCAGCACAATTCTGATTCCTCATCTGCTGTCGCCTCAGCTGAGCCCGGGATGAAAGAGCAATTCGGTGCAGGGATCTTCGAGAAATCGAAGCTTTCGACCTGTGCCTAAGTCCCACGCCACAGATGCTGAGCCAGAATCGAACTCCTGCAAACTTATGCGACCATGCAATGGCTTTGCCCAGCAGCCCAGAGCCTCTTTCCTTCTCTGCAGCTGCCGAGTCTTCCAGGGTCTGCGTTGAGTCCCGGATTCACATGTTGGCGGGCTTCCTTTTCTGGGTGTTCCGATGTGATTCAGGGTTGGGAGGTTGTGGTGTTTGGTGGCGCCGCTTTCTGAAAAAAAGAGTGCGAGGGACTGCTGGCCGGGTCTCGCCGCGGAGGTTCTGGCTTCGCCTATGGTGGGTTTGCCAATACCTCAAAGCGATCCTTCCATGTTCCGAGGTATCCTTGCATCCCAGAGGCCATGGCTGTGGCAAACGATGACGAGTGGGACGATGAGACCTACGCTCGACAACAGGCTGTGGCCTCTTCTTTTTCTTAGTGCACTTCCTCGGTCTGAGTATGTAGGAGTTGAAGTGTAAGCTGGACACCTGTCATCAGCGCTTGCCTGGCTGCCCGTGTGCGTAGAGATCGGCCGTTCGCAGCTTCCGAACCGCTCTGATGAACTTCTCCAGCCGTTCTGTAGTTTGCAGTATTGTGGAGCTCGAGCAGGAGCACCTGGAACACTTCTATGAGGAAGTTTTCCTGGAGTTGGCAAAGTTTGGCGAGGTCCAGGGGCCACTGATAGCCTGCCCATTTGAGATGGGCTTCTCTTGTGGGTGTGGACACCTCTTGGTTTCCGCAGCGGAAGTCCTCTGACTCACTAGAAAGGTCTTGTCAGTGCTTAGAGATCACCTAGTGGCAGCAGCATCGCTGAAAGAGATCGCAACGCTCCATCTCCGCCCCTCTGCCGTCTTGGCTCCCTGGGAGTGGCGACATTCCAAAGAGTGAGAGCCCTTGTGGAGAGGGTCTGCAGCTCAGAGACACAGATGCAATGCCGAAGCCTCCTTGAGAACCCAGCCCAGGCCATGGTTGCTTTGTGCGAAGATGCCGAGTACAGAGGGCAGCTCAGTGCCTGGCACGCCGTGCATCCGCGTCATGGTTTCGGAGCTTTGTGTTGGCTACACTCTTCCTCGTTGCAGTCTGATGGCATGAAGGTCTGTCTGTCGGCTGCCGGCTTTGCTGCAGAGATGTTGCATGAACTTCTGCAAGCAGTGGCAGTCTTGCTTGTTGCAGCCACCTATAAAACGTGCCGTAATATCACTGATGCTTCTGGTAGACTTTCTGCTTCGGGCCATTGATGTACTACTACTTGGCACTCTGATTGAGCCCCACATCGTAGCTGAAACAGGGGATGTTCCCATCGGCTGTTGTACCCTCATTGTATCGCTGTAGCATATGAAGATGGGTGGAGCAGGCTGCAAAAGAAGAAAAGTGGAACATCAGCATTCAGGATGCGAGAGCCAAGCACTCAGAGCAGGTGTTTGCAGCTTTCTCTGTCGAGCACAGGCTGTCAGCTCATTTTTCTCCCTTCGCTAAGCTGCAGTTGTTTCATAAACCCCTAGGTACAACAAGCGGTACTTCACCCTGGATTTCGACACGCCGTTTGTCTGCAATGATGTTGGTTTGGGATGCCTGTGCCACCTGAAAGGGTGTGACATTGCTGGTGTTCAGCTAGGCACACCTTCTTCTATGCCCACTCTGAAAGCAGCAGCAAGGCACGCCTCAGGTTGTGAGGCTTTGCCAGCATACTCTCTATGCAGCACTGTGCAGACGCTGTGCCGTCATGCTGCGAAGTTGCACTTCGTCGTTATCATCATCACCGTCATCATCATCGTCGTCGTCATCGTGTACTTTGCAGCAGTGTGTTTGCAGGTGTCGGCTGTGACGCCGTTTGCTGACATTGTCGATGTGCGGATGCCCGAGGCTTCGCACTAAGATCATCAAGTGGTGTGCATACTTCGGACGTCTGCGGATGTAGGGCCTAGTCCTAGGGCCAAGGAGATTCCAGGTGATGAAGCATGGGGCATCACGGAGCGAGGCCGACCTCAAAGGAGACAACATCTCTGAGTTCAGCAAGGGCAGCAAGCGTGGCCTGCTCAGAAGCTTCGGGGAAGCTGGTTTTAGTCGGCGCTCCGGGCCGAGGGGTTGGGGTTCCTGCTGCTGGAAGGCTCTTTCCTTCAGCGCACGACGAGCTTCCTCAAAACCGCGAAGGAGGCCGAGGACAGCAGGGGTTCAATAGGATCAGAACAGTGCACATGGATGCAAGCTGTAATGTTGGATTGTGGGGTCGCGTTTGCTCAGTCGACCGCAGCGACTCTGAAGAAGACACTTTCTTTGTGCTTGCAGTGCAGTTGCACCTTTGCGGAAGCAGGATGTTCTTCGGTTTCACAACCGGCTGCAGTGGCTGCATAGTCGGATTTCAGACTTGCTTGCTCTAACCTTGTGTGAAATCATGCTGCTTTTTGCGATTGACGCCTTGCTGCATGTTGACTTGGGTATCTTGAGGGCAAAGCTGATGCGTCATGCCAGGTGCAGTTCGCGTGCACATCTGTGCATCAGTGGCAGTCGAGTTCCACTTGCCTGGGCCAATAGCAACGGTCAGTCAAACAGTCAGGTCTTCGGTTCAACGAACTCACCCGCCTAGCTTGTCGCTGTTTTGTCGAAGCAGTATCCTGGAGGAGCAGCACGTGCTCACGGTCATGACTCGTCCGGCGAAGACCATGGAGCTAATGCTTTGAGCTTGGCTGCCTCGGGACCTTCAATGATTCCAGGGGCAGGGGGGGTATTGCTTGAAAGAAGAGCTTCTGATTTCTTCAAGAAGCTTCCTGCTCTTAGGTGCTCTTCCGCGACCGAGGCTTCGACTTGGTTCGAGGCGGTGCTGAGGAAGGGTTTAACCGTGCTCTTTGGGACGAAGCTTCGAGCTCGAGCCTTCTGGTTCTTTTTTTTTTTTGAGGGGAGGGGGGGCTTGGCTTTGCTCATGTTCTGCTTGGTTGTGGCTTGTGGGTTGCATGGCCTCCAGGCAAGTAGCAGGACGCGCAGATTTTTTGGGGACAGCATGCTTTGAGGCACTGAAGACGGCCATTGCGATGGACAGGGAGCAGGCGACAGAGGCTTCCAGAATCTTGGATGTGAAGCAATGTTAGCAGGCAAGCACCTTGGCTGCTGTCACCCTGGCGGGGGTATCTGTGGCTATTGTGGGCATTTTCTAACATCATGTGGCGATGTGCTGATCACTGTGACTCCTTTGACACGGATGACTCGAAAGAAGCTCATGTCCATCCACGGACAGTTCTGCAGGCCGGGCACACCACGGCCAGTGCCTCTGAGAGCGACGAGAAGCCGCCAGGCTGGGCGGACACTCCGATCCTTTGTAGGCTTCGCGAACAAAGCCCAGCACATCCTCAAATTCGGCTGTTTGTTGGGTGATCCTGTATGAAGACATTTCGTGTGTGGAGATGACGGGGCTGGCTGGAAGCCTATGTAACATTGGCTGCCTCAAGATTCCATGATCCAAGATAATAGAGGCGGTTCCCGAGAGTTCATGTCTTCTTCACCGAGCATTCGGTGTATGAAAGGAACCGGGCACACCACGAAACTCCGATTGTCTTTCTGGTTCTTAGTCAGCTCCCACACAAACTCACCACTGCTGGCAGCTCCGCCCCTACGTGGCGGGTATCCGACTCCGGCTCCAGCCCCCGTTCCCAGAGGCCTGCAGTGCGCTTCCTTTCAGGAGATCGCAGCACAAGCATGTCAACTTGCTCTGCAGCTGTACAGCTCCAGGACATTAAGACGGAGGGGCGTTGCAAATAACACGTCTTCTGCAGTCCTGAGCCAGCTGAAGTTTGCAGATCGTGTTCCGTGGTCAATCTTCCAGCACTGTTGCAGAAGTCACGACACAGCTACACAACTCAGCCGCAGCCGTACGCAGTCGTAAATGAGCGGTTGCTGGAGTTGAGAAGCATCCAGACCACTCCGTGAAAGCATCCATGGTCTTCGCCATGGCCTCATGAAGAAGCGGCGCCGGGGGCTCTAGAAACTTCAGGCTTCGGTTTCAAAAGGGGCCAGGAGCATGACATGGCAGAGCGCAGAATAGATGGTTCTAATGATTATGCCGTGTTAGGTGCTCGTAGGCGATGCTGTGGGCACACGATTCTAACCTGGACTCTAGTGCATGGTTGTAGGCTTTTCACTACTTCTTATAAGCTTTTCGCTACTTCTGCTCAATGTTTCGCATGGCACACCTCGCTGCAACTTTGTTTGACCCAGCCGAAGGTCGGAGAAGCGTCTCTCAGCCCTCCGCACTGGCACCGACAAACGGCGGCCTGGCAGAGACACATGCTCCTCTCAACCTCGGTTCAGGGTGGGCAGGGCAGGGGGGCAGGGCAGGGGCTGGTGCTGTTCGTCCGCCCAGGCCACAAAGCAGTCGCTCAGCCGGTCAAGAAGTTGAAGGCATGGTGTGCATGTCAGCATTCCGCCAGTTCCTAGTTCGCTTCTCTGCGGATGCTTCTGCTTCCTCATGAGATGGCTTCCTCACATAGGTGCGGACGCTCCGGCGGCGAAAGCAGGCAGGCCCTCATCTCTTACAGTGCTCCTTTTTATCTCCGCCACGCAAGCCGTTCCTCGGGCAGGAGCCTGCCGTTGCAGCATCCCCCGCGCCGGCTGCTGGGCCGACCCCTGTGCTTTCTCAGGAGGCTGCCGTAGATCTTCGGCAGCTGTTTGTGTCCGGGAAGTGCAGCTCTTGGAGTGCCCGATGAAACTTAAAGGAGAGCTTCCGTGCACCACTTGCCAGTAGGGATCCCAGCAGGACCCTGGCAGCCTGGGCCCCGCAGCAGAAGGCCCGAAGAAGTCAACCGCCAGAGCCCGAAGAGCAGGCCGGGCCTGCGGCAAACTTTCGAATGCCCCATGGGTTGTTCACACTCTATACGCGCGTGCGTATATTGTATACTCGCTTGAATGCTTTTCATTGCTGCCCACTTTATGTCTTGGTTTTTGCTCGTCGTCCTTGCCGTCCTCCTCATCGTCGTCGTCATGGTCGTGGTTGCACGGAGCGGGTTTCTGCAAACGAAGGGCGTGTGACTACCCTCCGCCCATCTAAGTGTGAAATCACGCATGTTTCCAGTGCCTGCAGTCGGCATTTTCTTGAACTCAGCCATAGTGCGGCAGCCGTGAGCGGATCCGGAAGTAGCGCAAACAAGGTGAGACGCCCGATGCGTGTCTGCCGAGTTTGAGCCCCTGTCACTTTCGTGTCTACGAACCATCACCCTCCTCCCCTCGCAACCACCTGCGCCCTCACAACAAGCAAATGGTGTTCCGAGAGAGGCCGTTCCGGTCCTGTTGTTGGGGTGATGATTATGATGGCGGCTTCTGGCAATCAGCCTGTACACGGTCAAGGTCCGTGTTTGTCTCTACCTCCCACTGTAGTTATTGTACATATGTGATATAGATAATGTTTATGTGTGTGTGTATGTAAGTAAGTATGTAAGTATGTAAGTATGTAAGTATGTAAGTACGTAAGTATGTAAGTATGTATGTAAGTAAGTAAGTAAGTATGTATGTATGTATGTATGTACGTATGTATGTATGTATGTGTGCATCAACGCATGTATATACATCTATGTGCACACATACATGTGTGTGTGTGTGCGCGCATGAGTATACATTACGTTTGTGCTGCTGCATCACCACAGCAGCTTGTCAAACCAGTCGGCAGGTGCGTGGGGTAATGC